GCTCAAACTGCCTCCGATAGTCCTCTCTCAGATTGATAGGAAGATACTTCTCCAGAAATAGCTGAGAGAATTGGTCCCAAGTGAGAGCTGGCGACCCAGGTGGTCTAGCCAAACAAAAATCCTTCCACCATTTCTTGGCGAAACCTGATAGACGAAAGGTAGCAAAGTCGACCCCATTGGTCTTCATTATCCCCATGTTTCGTACTACCCTTAACAACTGTCCAGGTAGTCCTGGGGATCCTCTGAAGATGTACTGCCATAGGTAGTGGCGAAAAGCTTAGTAAACCTATCCAATCTCCACAAAGCCTTAGAAGACATAGCTGATCCATCATCGGTCTGTGCTGCAACACCGGCGGAACTACCCCAATGGGCTGAGCTGCTGGAGTCTGAAACTGAGAAGCCATCTGCTCCAGGGTGTGGGTAGCGGGAGTCAGGGCTCCTCCCCCAGTCTGAGAGATGGATGGTGCTACAAGAAATGTGCCAGCCTGTGCAACACTCTCCATAAGGCCCACTAGACGGACCAAAGAATCCTGAAGTACCGGGGTAGCGATGAACCCTTTTGGAACCTGAGCTGGCCTTGCTGGAACGGTCTGGGCTGGAGCCTCTTCATCAAACTCTACCTGAGGCTCCGCCGCTGGTGCTGGTGCTGCTGCTCGAGCTTTGGGTTGAGCCCTGCCACTGCCTCGGCCTTTAGCACGGCCTCAGCCTCGGCCTCGTCCTCTGCCCCTCGTAGGAGCTGCCACTGGGGCTCTAGCTGCTGCTCGGCTGAAGAAGCGGTATGTGTTCTCGCCATCTGCAAAAGAACAAGAGTAGAGAGTTCAATTAGCATTGAGAGATCAAATCGCATGACAGAGAAGAATAGAAGTGAAACTGATCCTAAACTCTGTAGCCTTTGGGGGATAAGCACAGACGTCTCCATACCGATCTCTCAGACTCTACCTAGCTTGTTCGTGAATTGTGGCACCTAGGCAACCTAGTTCTCTAATACCAACTTGTCATGACCCGGATTTCCCACCATCAGGACCGTGATGGCGCCTAAGATCGCACTCGCTAGGCAAGCCAACATTAGAGTTCCATTAACCTTTTTCCTTTACATTTCAAAGATTAAAATTCAACAGACTAAGTCAAATAGAAATGAATTCAGAAATACGTAAATAACCTTTTGTCTATTCACAATACCGTAGCTATTACTACTACTACCCAGAGTCTGGTGTCACAATCCACGAACATACTACGAATTACTATAAATATTGGTCTGAAAGAAATTACATCTGTTTCAAAAGAAAAGAAAATAGGAATGTAGAAACATAGGAGGGGACGCCTGGGCCTGCGGACGCCAGCAGGACTACCTTGGGTCTCCTAGATGAAATGTTTGCAACCGACCTCTCGATCAGCCACTACCAGCTCCAAAATCTGCACAGAAAGTGCAGAGTGTAGTGTCAGTACAATTGACCCCAAGTACTGGTAAGTGTCGAGCCTAACCTCGACAAAGTAGTGATGAGGCTACGACGGGGCAATTACATTATAACTTGTATACAGTATATAACAAAGCGAAAAAAGAAGTACGGAACAAAATGAAATAGTAACTTGAGGCAAAATGAATACGAAACACCAATATCTTATCAGTACCCACTTATAACCAACCCTTAGGTGAGATACAAAACTACAGAATAAATTCACAGCAGAAGAAGGATACATAAACAACAAACTGATGCGGTGCACATCCCGATCTAAAAATATATTTAGTAAAAATATGAACATTCACCCTTATTACTCCACATCAATCCACCATTATTCCTCATGTTGCAGCGTGCAACCCGATCCCAGCGTACAATAATAATCCACCCTTATTACTCATCAATATATCACCCTTATTCCTCATGTCGTGGCGCTCAACCCGATACCACCAGACAATCACATTTCACCCTTATTCCTCCTCAATATATCACCCTTATTCCTCCAGTTGCGGCGTGCAACCCGATCCACCATAACAGTACACAATAAGAACAGGGATTTCACAATTTAGCTCAAAACCCTCCACAATATTTAAGCCTCAAACCAAAGCAAATAGAAGGCTATACAATTATAAAACTTCACTCAATTAATACTACACAGCGAGACCAACCAAAGTATACCAAGAAACACCGATAAACCAACTTAAACCAATAATGTAATACAGTGAAACTACGAAATAGTTAATCCTTCAATAAAGAAAATAACATCTAACAAGAAGCAATTAAACATGGAAACACCGTTAAGCATGCAACAGTTAAGACAAAAAGACAATATATTAAGAACGATGAAAGAAACAGGCTAAACAAAAAATTTGGTGGCGCATAGGTACTCGTCACCTCACCTATACGCCACACACTTGGATTTTCACATAGCAAATAAGTCGGGGATCCCTAATACCTCAAGTCAAAGTTAGACACAACACTTACCTCAATCCAACGGCCAACTCAACGCTCAATTACAACTTTTCCTGTAGTTTCCACCTCAGAACCACTCGTATCTAGTCATATTAACTTAAGAACATTAATTATTGCTAAAGAAATCAATTCCAATACATAATTATAAGTTTCCCAACATTTTTACCAAAAAGTCTAAAACAAACCCCGGGCCTGCTTGGTCAAAACTCGAGATTCGGACCAAAACACGATGCCATTCGCCCCGAGCCAGGATATACAATTGGTTTTGGAATCCTACCTCAATTTGAGGTCTAAATCCCCAAATTTTGAAATTCCTAAGTTCTACCCAAAAATCCCCAATTCCACCATGAAAACCCTAGATTCTAGGTTGAAATCTTGTTAAAAGAAGTGAATGATTAAAATAAATGAGTTAAGATTCACTTACCTATGATTTGGGGAAGAAATGGTCTTTGGAAAATCGCCTCTTGAGGTTTAGGTTTTGAAAAATGGGAGAATGAATGAAAAATCCCGTCCAAAATCGTTTTGAACAGTTGCAGGTATCCCATTTGCGATCAGAGGTTCGCAAATGCGAACATCCCTTCGCAAATGCGAAAAATATCCTGGGCCTGCTACCATCGCAAATGCGAACATGTGTTTGCAAATGCGACCTGAGCTGATCGCAATTGCAATCTTGAGCTTTGCAATTTCGAAGGTCCCCCCCCCCCCAGCCCTACTGCTCGCAAATGCGAACATTCTTCGCAAATGCGAGGCTCGCATTTGCCAGCCAGACCTCGCAATTGCGACGTCTGCAGACCTGAAGCATACCAACTATTTTTCTTAAGTCCAAATCACTCAGTAGCCTACCCCGAAACTCACCCGAGCCCTCGGTGCTCCAAATCAAACTTGCACACAAGTCTTAAAATATCATACGAACTTGCCCGTGCGATCAAATCACCAAAATATCATCTAAAACTACAAATTTAACACCAAATTGCATGAAATTTTCATGAAAGTTTCAAAACCTCTATTTTCCTCAACCAAAGGCCCGAATAACGTCAAATCAGTTCCGTTTTTCACCAAATTTCACAAATATGACATAAATATTATATTAAACTTGTACCGGGCTCCGGAACTAAAATACGGTCCCGATACCAATGAGATAAATCATTAATCAATTTCTCTAAATCATTAGAATTTCAGTCTTCCAATTTTCATCAAAAATTCAGGGCTTGCGACCTCGAAATTTGATTCTGGGCATACGCCCAGGTCTCATATTTTACTACGGACCCACCGGGATCGTCAGAACACGGTTCCGTGTCTGTTTACCCAAAACGTTGACCGAAGTCAACAAAAATCAACTTTTAGGCCGAAAATTATTATTTTTCTCGAATTTCCACATAATGGCTTTCCGGAAATGTGCCTGGATTGTGCAACCAAATTGAGGAGAAATAAAATAAGGTTTTAAAGGCCTCAGAACGCCGGATTGGGTTCTAAAACGCAAGATGACCTTTTGGGTCATCACAGTGCCAATGAGATTCTGGGGTGATTGTGTGAGGATAGCACCATACTTAATTAACAAACTACCCACATGAGTGTTGCAAGGGCAATGCCCATATGAAATGTGCGTAACAAACCAGCAAAGATAGAGCACTTAAGGGTGTTTGGTTGTTTTTATCGCAAGTAACCTGCTAGTTGGTAACAAGTTCACACCAAGAGCAAGAAAGTTAGTCCTTACAGGGTACTCTAAGACATAGAAGAGGTACAGATTGTTTGACTTAGATGCCAGAAAAGTGTTCATTAGTAGAGATTTTTCATTCAGAGAACAAGTGTTTCCTTTTAAGGAAGGAACTCAGATCACTGAAGACATATTTCCATGTGAGCCTCCCATGCCAAATGATTCTCTGCCTGAACAATCACTGCGGAGTTCTTCTAGTGAGGTACAGACCACCACTGAGGAATCAAAGTCCTCCACAGCACATGATCAAGTTGAAGCTGCCCAATCACCAACCATGGAACCAACAGCTACAGCAGACACTCAAATACTGGACTCAATTGAAGATACGGTGCACTCAGTTGACACTATTGACCCCATAGAGCAAGTTGAAGTGCAGCCAATCACAGATCCAACCTTATGCCAATCACTCACAGAACAGGTAGTAAATGAAACAGCTGGTGTCAGAAAATCTAACAGAACTACAAGGCCCTCTATATGGCTGAAAGATTATGTTACAGGCTCAAACACTCAAAATCACCCTTATTGTATTTCAAACAGTGTATCCTATTCTCATTTGTCAACACATTACCAAGCTTATAGTGTTTTCTGCAGCAGTTGAACCAAAGAGCTTTAAGGAAGCTTGTCAGGATCCAAATTAGGTAGAAGCTAAGTCACAAGAGATTAAAGCTCTTGAAGACAATTCAAATGAGCATTGTTGACCTCCAACAGGAAAAAGGGCTATAGGGTCCAAGTGGGTGTTGAAGATAAAATACAAAGCCAATGGGGAAATAGAAATATACAAGGCTCGGTTAGTAGTAAAGGGTTATACACAGCAAGAAGGGTTGGACAATCATGAGACTTTTTCTCCTGTAGCAAAAATGGTTACTGTCAGAACAGTCTTTAGCATAGCAGCCTCTAGAGGATGGGATCTTTTTCAAATGGATGTAAATAATGCCTTCTTGCAAGGAGATCTCTATGAAGATGTCTACTTGGAACTGCCACAGGGTTTCCAGAGACAAGGGGAGTATAAGGTCTACAAACTACTTAAATCACTATATGGTCTTAAGCAGGCTTCTAGACAATGGAATATCAAGTTAATTGAGGCTTTGGTGAAGGCAGAATATCATCAGAGTGCTAATGATCACTCACTCTTCACTAAGTACACAACATCAGACATTGTTGTTATCTTAGTGTATGTGGATGACTTGTTTATTACTGGGAGCAATGCAGAGATAATAAAAGAGGCCAAGCAGACAATACAAAATTCCTTTAAAGTTAAGGATCTAGGGGATAAGATACTTCTTCGGTATTGAGGTTTTAAGATAAAAGAGGGGGATTCTACTCACACAAAGAAAGTATGCACTTTAGTTGATATCAGAAGTTGGTCTTGCAGGAGCTTAATCCATCTCCACCCCAATAGAGAACAATCAGAAGTTGACCACTATTGAATATGACAAGCATGTAGGGGTAAATGGAGATGAAGAACTTGAGGACATAGGGAGCTATCAAAAACTTATTGGTAAATTGCTTATTTGACCATCACTAGACCAGACCTGAGTTTTGCAGTACAGGTACTCAGTCAGTTTATGCAGCAACCAAAGAAATCTCATTAGGATGCAGCGTTGTGAGTGGTGAGATATATAAAGGCAGCACCAGGCCTTGGTATTCTGCTAGGAGCAGGACCTATTGATACACTATCTGCCTATTATGATTCAGACTGGGCCTCTTGTGCTAATACCGGGAGATCTGTCATAGGGTATGTCATCAAATTGGGGGATTCTTTACTCCCATGGAAGTCAAAGAAGCAACAGACTGTCAGTCGAAGCTCAGCAGAAGCAGGGTACAGGAGTTTTGCAGCACCAGCTGCAGAAATCACATGGTTCCTAGGATTGCTTAAGGAACTACATGTCCAGATTCAGCTGCCAGTGTCTCTGCATTGTGATAGTAAAGCAGAGCCCTACAAACACTACAAGAATGAAGGCCTTTCGCAACAACATTTTTTGTTGCCATATATTCAATGTTGTTGGCAAAAATATTTTTGGCAACGACAAAGAAGTCGTTACACTCCGTTGCAGTAAACACAGATGGGAAAAGTATATGCAACAACAGAGAATATTGTTGCCAAAAGGTAACTTAGCGCAACAATGTATATCGTTGCCATAAGTTATTTTTTTGTTGGTAAAAGGTCAATGAAGTCGTGGATTATGAAGACACGTAGCAATAAAAAGTTATTGTTGCGACAACATTAGTTTTTTGCCAACAATATCAGTTGTTGCTAAAAAAATTGGCGGTAAAGTTAATAATCTGTTATCAAGACTTTTAGCAATAACTATTATTGTGGGAATAATACCTTTTTGCCAATAGATTCTCTAGTACTACTTTGGCAACACTTTGTATGTTGTTACTAAATACACAATTCATATATTCTTTAAATTTTCACAAATACAAGTAGAAATTATAAATTGTATTTTAAATAGATATAAATAAAGTGTCTACACTGAAAATTTATGAAGTGGATATACTAACTTTCAAAAACTAAATAATCCTAAAAGTATATTTTTACATACAAAATGAGTAAAAGCATCATATATCCAATGTTCTTAAGTTCTATTCTAATAGTAACCCAAAAAATAAATCTTCCAAGGTCCTTAAGTTCTATTCTAATAGTAACGAAAAAAATAAATCTTCTTCCAACAGCTTGTGCACTTATGAACCAGATGTGTGTCACGATCCGGATTTCCCACCCTCGGGAGTCGTGATGGGGCCTACTAATACGAGCTAGGCAAGTCAGTTATTTGCACATTTTATCTGTTTACCCACTTTTATATTCATTAACAATTGCGAAGTAATCACATTTAAACAGCGGAATTTAACATAAGCGGAAGATAAAGCAATACGCTATTTGAACATCAATCCAATACAACTGTTTGAGTCTCGTCTACCCAGAACTAGTGTCACAGTTTCACAGACGGTCTAAGAATACTACAAATAAAGGTTTAAAAGAAATAAATACAACATTGTCTCTGGAAATGCATGAAAGAAACAGGAATAGTAGATAGAAGGAGACGCCAAGTCCTGCGGACGCCTGCAGGACTACCTCGGGTCGCCTGATGAACAAGAATCAACAATCCCACTGCGGTCCGAAGCCTACAACACTGGGGTTTGCACAAAAGAGTGCAGAGTGTAGTATCAGCACAACCGACCCCATGTGCTGGTAAGTGCCTAGCCTAACCTCGACAAAGTAGTGACGAGGCTAGGACCAGACTACCAAATAAACCTGTGCAATTTAACTATATACAGCGGAAAAGAAGAACAGTAATATACGGTCAAGTATGGGAGGGGGAAACATGCTGTGGGGGGAACATCGAATAGTAATAGAAGAGCAACAAATAAATATGAGGATCACCACAGTTCAATTGAAAATAGGAAGGGGAAATCATGCTGCGGGGTACAACAAGTATCAACGGGAAGCCAGCAATTTAGTGTAGAGAAATCGTAACACAGTCATCAATAAGAATTAGGAAAATCAAAGACAAGTGCACGACATCACCCTTCGTGCTTTTATTCTCTCTCACCAAAACAATACACGGCATCACCCTTCGTGCTTTACGCTCTTCCTCACCCAAACAACAATCACAAGGCAAATAGGGTAAGGGAATCTATAACCTCGAAATAAGATCAAATAACAACAGAAAATCAGTAAATAAACGCAAAGGACAACATAACTCAATTATCAGCAAGAATCAGGGAAATCAAGGACAAGTGCACGGCATCACCCTTCGTGCTTTTACTCTCGTCCTCACCATAAGAATCAATATAATAGGCACGGAATGATACATCGTGCGGCACGGCATCACCATTCGTGCTTTAAACTTTTTCCTCACCATGAAATCAATATAATAGGCACGGAATGGTACATCGTGCGGCACGGCACCACCCTTCGTGCTTTAAACTCTTTACTCACCATGAAATCAATATAATAGGCACGGAATGGTACATCGTGCGGCACAGCATCACCCTTCGTGCTTTACACTCTTTCCTCACAAAACAAACAATGCACGTCATCACCCTTCGTGCTTTAACTCTCTTCCTCACCCAAACAACAATCACAAACAATAGGGCAACGGGAATAAATGAAATTGTAATAAAGATCCAGGCAAGGGAGCAACAATTCAAAAAATAAATCCCGGCAAGGGAACAACATCAATAATATCAACATCCCGACAAGGGAACAACATCAGTAATATCAACATCCCGGCAAGGGAGATAACCAATAAATCAACAATAGCCCGGCAAGGGTGTCAACATAATAACTTCTTTTCTTTCTCACTTTTACTTCACAATTCACTTCATAACTCGAGCCAATGCTCTAGAGATTCAATTATCACTTACACTTTCACAATTCATTACACAACTTGAGCCAACGCTCCTTAAATGTTCATAGGTCACAATTCCTTCCACAAACTTTACATAACATATAGAAACCATCACCAAGACATGAAAGATACAACGAAGTCATGAAAATCACAATATAAGAGCCACGGGCATGCTAGACACCAACGTATAGATACTCGTCACCATGCCTATATGTCGTACTCAACAATTACCACATAGGAAATAGGACTCAACTCCTAATCCCTCAAGCTAAGGTTAGACCAAACACTTACCTCAAACTTCCACGGCCAACTCAAGCCTCAAACACCGCTTTTCCTTTTGAATTTTGGCTCCAAATCAATTGTATCTAGACATAATCGACTTAATGACATCAATAAATGCTAAACAATTCAATTCCAATGCTTAATTATAGCTTTTCCATCATTCTTCCCAAAAAGTCAAAAATTAACCACGGGCCCGCTTGGTCAAAACACGAGGTTCAGACCAAAACCTGATCACCCATTCACCCACGAGCCCGAATATATAATTTATTTTGAAATACGACCCCAAAACGAGGTCAAATTCCCAAATAATCAAAAAGCCCTAACTCTACCCAAATCCCTAACTTTCTACCCTTAATCTCATGATTTAGGCCTAGAAATCTAATGGGTGTTAATGGAAAATGAAGAAAATGAGTTAAAGATACTTACCCAAGAGATTATGGTGAAGAATTGCTTCAAAAATCGCCTAAGAGCTTTGGAGAAGAAGGGGTTTGTGAAATTTTTATAAAATCTCGTAAGTGTTCTGTTTTTGGCTTTTAAAAATCACTGGGCGAAAATGCCCTTCGGTATGAGTCAGGCATACCAGGCCTTCGTGTTCGCGTACCAGTGGTCGCGTTCGAGATGAACAAAAGGTGACCCCTCCCCTCAACCTTACGCGTTCGCGAGTGGAGGGACGCGTTCGCGAAGGGTCTTCCCCCCCTCAGCTTCGCGTTCGCGTCTCAACCTTCGCGTTCGCGAAGAAGAAAATGGGCTCCTGAGATTTTTGCCTTACGCGTTCGCGAGTGGTTCCACGCGAACGCGAAGGGTAAAATCCCTGGGCACTAACAGCAGAAATCTGCAACTTTTTCTCAAGTTCAAAACTTCCCGAAACACCTCCGAAACACTCCCGAGCCCTCGGGGCTCCTACCCAAACACACGTACTAACTCGACAACATCATACGAACTTATCGTGCGATCAAATCGCCAAAATAACCTCAATAACAATAGTTCAAACCTCAAAATCAAGAACTTTTCTCAAACTTCATCAAGTATCAAATTTATCAATTTAGGTTCGAATCACGTCAAACAACGTTCGTTTTTCACCAAATTTTACAGAAACATCTTAAATCATATATAAGAACTGTACCGGGGGCCGAAACCAAAATACGGGCCCGATACCAACACGTTCTAATCAAATTTTATTTCAAATTTCCTTAAACAATTTCAGAAAACAATTTCCTTTAAAAATTCATTTCTCGGGCTCGGAATTCGATTCCGGGCGTACGCCCAAGTACCATATTTTCCTACGGACCCTCCGAGACCGTCAATTTACTGGTCCAGATCCGTTTACCCAAAACGTTGACCGAAGTCAAATTAGCTCATTTTATAACCAAATTTTATAATTTTACATAGATTTTTATATTTAAGCTTTCCGGCTACGCGCCCGGACTGCACACGCAATTCGAGGCGACTCTAAATAAGGTTTTCAAGGCCTCGGAGACACAGAATTTAATTTAAAATAAGTAATGACCGTTTGGGTCATCACAATGTGAGGATTGTTCATTTACGCATGCTCATTCTAAAAAGAAAATAAATATAATTAGATTTTGATAAAAAGAAGCAATAAAGTACAAAAGTGCAAAATGAAACTAGTGGAAGCTTATTTAAATGTTACAACTTACAACAACAACAACATACCCAGTATTATCCCTTATAGTAGGGTCTAGGGAGGGAAATGTGTACACAGACCTTACCCCTATCTTGTGAAGATAGAGAGGTTGTTTCCCATAGACCCTCGGCCCATGACAACATAAGCACGAATTAATAAAAAGAAATACAAGAATGGATAATACTGAGAAGCCATGTAAAAGAAGCACAAAAAATATCAAGATGGTAAGATGACCAAAATGACTGTAACAGGAACCATCAACCTAAAAAGAGCTTGTGGAAACACAACATCAACCTCAAAAGCTCTAATGCACGACTAGGAGAAAGAAACAATCACCCACAATCTGGATTATGTGCAAAGGTAAAGTGCATCATGCCTGAAAGCACTCTTGATTTGATGCTTATTGTCACACCTCCTTTTTTGCACACCTACCCCGAAGGATAACGTATAAAGGGAGTTTTTCCATTTAAAGTGACATTATTCGAAATGGGATTATTTATTGATTTTTTAGAGTCGCCACTTGGGATAGGATTGGCTTTTGGTGTCCCAAGTCACCGATTTAATTTAAATCCCAAATCGAGGAAAATTTCGACTTCCCAATTGGAGTCTGCGAACCAGAAATTCTGTGTAAGGAATTCTGTTGACCCGAGGGAAGGTATCAGGCACCCCCGGATCCCGTGGTTCTAGCACGGTCGCTTAAATTGGTTAAAAATGAGACTTACCTTGTCTCAAGGCCTACTCTCCGGTGCAAGATTATGCTCAAACCCTCAAATCG